GTGAAGAAACGATGTGAGTGGTATTTTTAATAAAGCTATGTTACACTTGTTTTGATGAACCTTGTTTTGCCTTGTCTTGAAAAGTATTTGATCAAGCATGAATGGTTATCCCTATTTGTATATCAAGTATTATCTTGTTTTGATAGGATAGTCGTGATTGTTGTAGACAATGCATGATGATTAGGCAAACTGAAACTAATCAATGGAACGTGTCATGGAATTTGACGGTTGATGGAATACATTAACTATATGTATTGTGTGAATGTATATAGAACCAATGTGTTTGTATACGTTATGTGTAGAGGAGGAGATTGGGGATGTACTCCGCGGTTTAGGGGAAGATAGGGGATGTACCTCTAAACCGGATAGTGTTGGGAGAAGATAGGGGATGAACTCCGTAGATACAGCTCATATGCTTGTCTAGAGAAGTGAAGATAGAGCTTATATGCTTGTCTTTGTGAAGTGTGGATATAGCTTATATGCTTATCTGTGGATATTGTGGTTATACATATCTGTTGTAGAATGTGGATATAGCTTATATGCTTATCTGTGGATATTGTTGTTATACATATCTGTTGAGAATGTGGGTAGTGCTTATATGCCTATCCGTTGAAAAAGGGAAAATGGAAGGAAACTTGGACTCATCAGTCGTATGACATAAATATGTGATTTATGTGAATGTATCGTTGTTGGCCATCTATCAATTGCTAATATTTTAGTCATTGTTCATGGTTGGTTTAGTATATTTTTACTGGGCTGTGGCTCACCCTATATGGGAATATCATTTTCAGGTACAGGTAGCATGCCACCTCCAAGGACGTAGCTTGGGAGGCTAGAGGCAGGCGGACTTTTGTTATTTTGTTCTTTTGATGTATTACATGTAAATTCAAGCCAAGGGCTTAAGGTGTATGAGTTAGTACTCTTTTTGTTGTAACCAAGTGTTAACTTGGAAAGCTGTAAGCCCGTAGGGCATTTGCTTTTGTTGTTACCATGTAATACTTATGTAATGAAACTCTGATAAATGAAAGAAAGTGGAACTTTTGAATATCAATGCATGTCTTATTTGTTGGGATTAATGTTATTATTTTGAGGGCGTTACAGTTTGTGGGACCTATAAAATTCTCAAACTGATGAAAAATAAAATACCATTTTTGAAGCAAATCGATTTTTTAGGAACCTCCATAATTAATTTATGTATATTGCACATACATATCACTCCCTACATTAAAGACTCCAACATGAAACCCATACTTTGATGTGCACACCATGCCTTTTTGGTGATTATAATTTTTTTTTTTCTTTTTTATATATTAGCTTGAGTTGCCATTAACTTGTCTAGATAGTACATGAGTCCATATTAACTTTAGAAATACAAAGAAAATCAAAATCCTTATTAATTAGCTTCATATCATTAATAATAGCCGCAATGCTCCAATCACGGGTGCGTTGTCGTTGCAAAGTAGATACCAAAACTTGACTATCCGTGAAAATGGAGATGCATAACAGATGCTGGCCTTTAGCCCAATGAATAGCTTACTAGCACGCTTTAACTTCGGCCAGCAATGGAGAAGGAAGCTGTATCCTAGAAGCATAATCTTGAACCCGTGATTGATCTATATTGAAGCAAACACATGCCATGCCCGCACTTTGATCAGCTGCCTGCCACGAACCATCTATGACAAAAGTCCACACCTAGTAATCTGTCACATTAGAGAGAGAATTTGCAAGCATACATATATCATCATTATTACAAACATCAACAGTAGATGTTGAGGTATTAAAGCCTACTCTAAACATGGGGATGATCTTCAAGTAACATTAGAGGTAAGCTCTTCAGCAAGAAGATTTGCTTGTACTTGTGTCAGTGTCATAGTCATGCCTTTAAACACATAACTATGTCTCTAACGCCAAACAGTCCAAAGAATAGCAATGGATTGAACAATAATTTCATAATTCCAAACCTTCTTAATCTATTGTTTGAACCAGTCCCCAAAAAACATGGGATTTCCTCTAGAAAAATAAGGCCTAATGAAGAAGCTCACCAAACCCGTTGAGAATACTGGCATTCCACAGTCTCGATCCCTTTATCACATCATGGACAACTAAGCTCAATGGAAACTCCTCTCCCATATAACACCCATCAGATTGAAAAGATGCAGTGAAGACACTTCTGTAAGAAGAGTGTCCACTTAGGTAGTCTAAGATTCTACAATCACTAATGGTGACGTGTATCCCTGCATATAAATAAAGCCCTAAATAATTTGATCTCGCGAAGGCACCATCGGTAAATGAATACCCCTAATAGAATCTATGCACTCTAGTGGAAAAAATACTCGTAGAAGATTGATCCTCCAAGCATGATTTTGAGTATCAATGAAATGAGATAAATTCAAGCATGTTAAAGAATTGCGAATAGTAGGAATCCATTGATCCTCCAAAGAGGATTAATTAACTTACCATCCCCTACCAAATATGGACATGAGAACTTTTAATGGAATAAAAGTGAGAATTCTACTAAATAATTATACTTAAAATAATTAGTTTTCAATGAATCAAATTTTTTTTTTTTTTAAATTGAAAAATAAAAGTTAGCAGTTCAAAGGGGAAATATCATTTTGACATCAGTACACAAAATATTTTCAATTTAGTGGTTCAAGTTAATTAAATTTTCTTTTGTAATTGTAAAGTTTCTACTAAATTAATATTATTTTTTTTCCAACTTTCATTAAAACGGTATTTCCCTTGTGTAGAAAAGAACAAATACAAGATCAAGATTAAAAAATAAATACGCCACTTTAAAAAAAATTCGCAGCTTTTCATTAAAATGATATTTCCCTTGTATTTCCTTTCTATCCAAAACACGCCACTTAAAAAAAAAAAATTAAAAAAATAAAAATAAATAAAACTTGAACCCTTCATCCATTCCACAAAAATACCACTGTATATAACCAGAACATTATACAACTACCACTAAATCAGCACCCATAATTAAACCCTAAATCAGTACCTCATAATTTACACAAATCAACAAGGAAGTTCCTCTCCAAGCTCCAATTTGCATATCTAGTATTCTCTCTCTAATAATAAAAATTCCTGGACAAAGCAAAACCAGATTACCAGCACAATCAATGGTATTTAATTGTTGTATCAACCAAAATAACGACAAGTTACAATACAAAAATGGATTGTTTGTGTAGCGATCCCGGGTTTACCCTTGTTGTACAGTGTCCTCTCCAAGCTCCAATTTGCATATCTAGTATTCTCTCTCTAATAATAAAAATTCCTGGACAAAGCAAAACCAGATTACCAGCACAATCAATGGTATTTAATTGTTGTATCAACCAAAATAACGACAAGTTACAATACAAAAATGGATTGTTTGTGGGACCTATAAAATTCTCAAACTGATGAAAAATAAAATACCTTTTATCTTTCAGGAGAATTTCTAACGTAATAGGATTATGGATTAATTACATTTTTAGTTCCCAAAATATGAGTAAATTGGAACAATTTTTATATATTGGGAAAACGATTGAAACAATTTAAACATTGAGAAGCAAATTGAAACACTTTTATACATTAGGGACCAAATTGACACAATTTAAATATTGAGGACCAAAAATGTAATTAAGCCTAAAGATTATAGTAGGGCCCTAATCTTGGCAACTTTACCAGAAACCAAAAAAAAAATAATAATAATAAAAAAGGGTAGATGGGAAAAATTTAGGAGGGCGACACTATTGCCAAGGCAAAAATTATGTCGAATTGACAAAACTGCCATCCAAGTCAATTCTTCTGTTAGGGAAGGTCAACGATGACTAAGAAGAAGAATGAAAAGAGAAAATGTGATAATAGCCACCCCAAGCAAGCAAAGACTCGTTATCCAGATAATTAGATTACCTGCAATTGCTGCTAACTAAATAAATGGAGAAACCTAGTTTCAGGCTATGCAACTAGTTCAATCAGCTCATCATGGCTTTCAGGTGGATTGCCGGCTCCACGAGCAAAACAAAAACCTGTGAATTTAGCAAGAAACAAAAACTAAAAACTACTATTCTTTACTATAGATCCTTTGTTTCTCTTACAAATTTCTTTGAGAAGGAAAAAATATATTATTTTTAAAAGGAAGAAATTGGCAAAATGGCGGAATGTTACATGGTAAACCAACTAATTTGAAGAAACACAAAAGGACTTCCGGCTTCCAGAAAACAACTTTACCTGCATACATCTAAGAATAACTTCTGGAATGCAACACCTTCGACAAAGGCCCCACATGATGTATGTAGCTGGGCCTTCCAGGGAACAATCTTTGCTTGAATACCAGGCATCTAAACGTGAGATCTCCATCGTTACACCAGCTTGAAATCGAACAAGCTCTCCTGCATTCATACATTATATAACCCAGAAGAAAGTCAATGTTGTTTTAAACATTACACAACCTATAACTAGCTGCTCACGTCCAGGTTTTGCATTGTGTTTACATCTCCATTTACTAAATACCATGTAGGACAGGACATATGATGTCAAACAGCTCCTAGTAATTCCTGTTGGATGCCTTGTATTAGACTTTACCCAATCTGACATATAGAACCAAATTGTATTTCAGCAAATTTAGACAAGGACCTGTAGGCATTGGCCAATTTTTGACAGAAGAGCCAACAATCCAACTGCGAATATCCTTTTTTCAAGCAACGTGCAGAAAGGGCCAAGAAACTTTCGTAGACTTTCAAATTAGCATGTTCCAATATATCTCCCGTCATCCTTTGTATTTTAGTAACTTGTAAATTCTATTCAACACATAAACATGGCATGATTTTTTTGGAAACAAAAAAGTATTTAATTAAAGCAACAAGCTTGCAACTCTGTATGCATGTTCATATATACATATAACAAGCTTTTATTTTTTCAAGGTGTATTTGGATGTTCCCTCAAATTTGATTAGTTCTATTGCACATCATGTGGAATCAAAAGTAAAAGTTGATCACCAAAAAAATTGAGCCATCAAGTAAAATAGGAGTCTTCAACCAATTCCAGTTATCAGAATTAAGTTCCAAAATAATGAATTTTGAAAGGATAATGCAGTTACAACCATTCCTTACCTTTAAAGCCAGCAGCAATCACTGTAGCAAGAATAACACCATCATTAAGTTCATGTGGACCAAGTCCATCACCGTCTGTTGCCAGGCAACGAAGAACAACCTCAATGCAGTAATTGTCTATTTGATGAGATAGAGACACTCACCTTTCCATCGAGGAAAAATATCAAAGACAAAAGATGTGTAGAGAGAGAGAGAGAGAGAGAGAGAGAGCTAACTCAAAAAGCTTGGCAAAAGCAAATTTTACATATTACATAATCATATCCTACATCACCTCATCAAACTATGTAGATTATACAGGACTTAAGTATCAGGTGATTCATAAACAAATCAACTGATATGTAATGGTATTGTTTCAGGAACTGAAAGATTTAATTTGAGTTGTGGTCAAAGTTTTTAAAGGCGAATGCGTAACTCGAGGGGTTTTTTTTTTTTTTAATTGGTAGCGGGTGTCCAAATCAAAGCCCAACTAATTCCCAGGGGTGTACAGGCTCTTGACAAGGAGTTTTCCGCAAGTGGACCATGGTTTATTCAAAGGTTTTCCCTCAGTTCGATAGCCCTAAGGAATTGTTAGCACCTAAGAGGTTTTGATACCTAAATCTTGGAGGGAGCACACCCCCAAGACCCAACGCCTTACCACCAGGCCAACCACTTGGGTTTTAACTCGAGGAGAGCCGTAAGCCTTAAGGCGTTGAAGCATAAGCATTCAAAATTTAAATTTTAATATTTAGTTAATAAATAATATTTTAAATTACTAAATAAATAAATAAATTATTAAAATATAAAAGTGTAAATACTTCTCTCTTTAGGGCATTAAACATTTCACTGTAGATAAGGAAACTTGCCTTCATTAAAAGTGAAATTAACATTCTTAGTTTTAGTGATTAAACTTCTCACTTGAACATTAACTATGTTTTTTTTTGATTGATCATTTCATCTTATATAATATAGTTGCAAAAGTGGTTCTTTCTATTATTTTATTTTTATTTATTTCTTTTTTTTATGTTTGTTTCATCTACTAGACTAAGTTTAACAAGAGCCTAGGGAAACTTCTTCATTTGCCCTCATATGCTTATGATGTACAAGGCTCAACTAAAGTGCATGCCACAGACTGTGACACGCAACCCTAAACATAGTCTAAAAATCAAAGCCTTGATACATTTTACCTTAGCCTCGAGGCGAGGTGAACATTAGGGCGAGCCTTAGTAAAGCCTTTTAATACTTTGGTTGTGGTATGAAACCCAAGAAGTAAGGATTCAGACAACATAGCAAGTTCCAAATAATTAGGATACGACCGCAGCTGAGTCATGGCTAATTATATATTTAATATGAAATTAAAAACAAATTATTCATTTTTTTACATAGCAAAATTTCTATTTACTAGATGAAAATAATAACAAATAGTTCATGTTTTACATATAAATGTTGAAAAGAATTAGGAAGAGAACTTAATGTTTTACTTTTAGAAGTCACAATTCACAAACAATTTGGTTTGGTAAATGTTCAGGGTTCTAAATATTAAAAAAACCCAAATGATTGATAAATATATAAATCCATACTACAAATTATTCTTTGAACTTTTCAAAAAACCACAGGTTCACACTTTATACATCATATTCTATGAAGCACAGACACTTCATCTGACCTAACATATCAGTGTCCAACACGTCTAGGACACAAACATGTTTGGAGACACGGCAAATACATGTTGGACACACCCTCTCCTGTGTCCCATTTTTTTCACATTTTTTGGTTTTTGGACACACCTCTGACATTCTCCAAATGTGTGTGTCCCTTTCTGGAACAATCCTTGGACACGATGATGGCCCAAAAAATAAAAAAAATCACTGATTTTGTTCATGCAGCCTGCATGAACACTAGATCTATGATTCAAAGAAAAAGTAGAACTAATCATGCCCGCATAACTACAATTAATGTCAAAAAAAGAAAAGGCAAAAGAAAAAGAAACATACTTACCTGGGTTCAGCTTCGTCTTCTTCAACAAATCTTTACTTTTTTATTAGGGTTTGTAATCTTTACATCTCACCAAATGGGCTAGGCTGTAATACTCTCTTTTTTGTTGGTATGTTGTACACCTGTTATGAGATTTGTTGGGTGTTTTATTCTACACTTCCATTAATCCAATTCATTATGCAAGGCTTTGTATTTGGATCTTAGTTGCACAAAGCGGGGGCGAGGGAGAGAGAGCATATAGAAGTTTCTAAGGTTGGGAATGCCTATGGAAGCGTGTATATATTTCATATATTAAATGCACAAATATATTCTAACAATTAATTTTCTACATAGACATAAAATATGTATTAAAATATGAATAAGAATTTGTGATTGATGTCAATTATAAATTGTTTTTGTCAAGTATGAATACACATTATATAAATAGAAAGTACTATCATTAGTTTAAGTTATTTTTCTTTTGTTTCTTTGATATTTGTATGTTTTTCGTTTCCATCTCAGTTGAAAGCGAGTTTCTTCCTTGACGGAAGGGAGTTTCTTACAAGTTTCTTACTTGGGCACATAGAAACACGTTTCTCAACAAGAAGCATCACTTAAGTAGAAGTTTTCTGCTACTAAGATTTGGATATCATCAAACCCATCATTTCAAAGGATGATACGTGGAAAAAAAATATTGCAAACAAAAAAAAAAATAGTTTATTATTAAATAAAAACATATCCAATAAAAAAGAAAAAAAAAACTCAATATTAATTTAGTATTTTTGAAATTCATGAATATTGTAATATATATGGCATATAAAATATATAAAAATGTCTTTTTCACGCATTCATCGACATGTCGTGTCTCGCTTTTTTGAAAATCGTTGTGTTGGCAAATCTGAATCATGTTGTATATTTGTCACATGTCAAGTGTCTGTATAATAGATGGACCTAATTATGGATAAAGTAGTAGTGACCTTCCGAAAATAGTGCACCTTAACACATTACCAGACCATCCCACTTAAAATAATGCAATCAAATTTGGCATATAGATTCGTAAGGCACAATGAAGCTGAAAAGTGTAAAGCTATCCTCAAATTACCAAAAAACTAATATACCATTGCATTTGGCTCCCATCCCTTTGAATCATATGACGAGATGAAAGGAAACAACATACCATGAGCTGGCGATTTAAGACAACTTCCTTGCTTACTGAAGAATAAAGGGCACTCATTAGTGTTGCACACAAGGTGGCATCTGGGCACATACATTCACTAGAAGGCAAACAGAGCATTACAGTGGCATGCAATTCTAGGAACAAACGGTCTACTGATTCATAAACATGATCTTCAGTGGGAACCAACCAAGGATTTTCTTTTCCTAGAAAATAAAATATATCAATTAATTCAAACCTGAAAGCTTACCAGTGGAAGAACATAAAATGATGCAACCAAGTCAATGATCCGTAATAAAAACTACACAAATAAACATGGTGGCTAATCCAAAGATCTCTACGTGCAATGTTCGTAGCATATAGTTAAATCAACTCACTTAAGAGCAGTGAAAACAATGAATTTAGTGTTTCCTTAGCTGCTGCTATCGCTCTTTGCTTTTTCCTCAACTGACAATTCAAGGGGAGAAACTTCCACATTTTCTAACTCAACTTTCAGCCAATTGCGATAAGTTGCATCACAGGAGTAGTACTCACTCTAATTTAATGAAACATTGTACAAACTTGCAGTCTTAGAAGTGATAATATATCAAGGTCAAAAGAAAAGCATAAACAACATTAAGTGCAATGAACAAATACAGATCTAAATAAACCATACCCTGTTCTGGAACTCTCTTAGGTTCTCAGAAACACCATGATCCTCAGCAGAAAGAAGAGTTTCAGTTGGCTGTTTCAAAGGTTCAGTAAGAAAACTTAGCAATGTGTGGGCACCTATTGGCATTGCGGGCACCCTCCACATGGAAATAAGAGCATACTCCCTGAATAGTATGTTGCTACAATAATAATGAAAGATCAATATTTAGCAAGCCAACAAGATGAGAACAAGAAACTAGGTAGGTAAGAAAAATAGTAAAGTAATTAGTCAAGCATGTATAATAATACTGCAAGAAGAGACCATAGTAGCAGACAATGGGAGAAACTAGATGGTAGAGCTTAATCAAAGGAACAAGAAAAACATGTTCAGAACCTAGAAGCACCAGCATTAAAGACAATATCACAAATGTAATTGCTTCCAATTTTAAATCATGCAAAGAATAAAAAATAAAAATAAAAAATCACTAAGTTCTCATTATTCACTGAAAAAGGGCATTTTTTACATGATTTGTGGACATGTACATAAGAATCGAATGTCAATACAGGAACCAAATGTATGATATGGAAAACCCCACAATTCAAGACACGGGGAAAAGGACTCATATTTGTATTCATCGAAGTTCCATTACCCTTGTGCTAAATACACTCCTATAACTTAGTAGACATCAGATGGATAAAGAAAATTTATAACTGGGTGAGGCCAAAGCCAGTTAGCTAGTGTTGGTTCGACCTATTGAAAGTACTAGGAGAAAGTCAAATTTTAGTATAACTGTATGGGTGCGTAGGAAATTACCTAGTGTTGATCTCTCCAATATGGGGAACCAATTGAATTAGGAACAAACCTCACATTTGGCATTTGTACAAACACAACCTTTTGTAATTTTTCAACGAAGTGACCATCCTCATGCCCAAACCTTCATACTCACACTTGATAACCCACATTTATCCATAAATTGGTAGAGCCATTCACATTGACTATGTTAGTGCAATCTATGAAGCATCGACACTTCAAAATAAGTGTCGTAGCCATGTTGGATTCGCAGGCATGGTGGTGACACGTATAGGACACGCCACATGCCGTGTTCCCTTATTTAATTAATTTATTTTCAGGGGATATATGGGAACACTTCAGGGACACATATAGGACACACGGCATGTTAACTTATTTATTTTCAAAACAAGTGCTTTTGATGAATGTTGGACGTTTATTCTTTTTTTCTTAAATTTAAATACTTAATAGATCATCTTTTAAAAAAAAAACATAAATGATGAGTGTTAATTTAAAAGTTTTTTTTTCCTTTCAAAGAATTAGAGTTAGATTTTGTTAATTTTGATTGTTTGTAGATGTAATATTAATATACATAGCAAATAAAAATATATGAAAAAATATTTTATTGTTGTGGCACCACCGTGTCCATGTTCCATTTTTTGAGATCACCATATCCCGTGTCCATGTTCATGCTTCTTAGAGTGCAATTAAGCATATAAACAAACAAACAAACAAACAAAAAAGATAGCGATCATTCTGAAGTATTTACAATTCATTTAAAGCTTCAATAATTACTTGAGTGCATGGGCTTACGGGCCACTTGTTTCCAAGTTGAATCTGGGGGTACGTAGAAAAGCCTCTTTTTGAGCTCGGTGTTTTATTTTTGAACTCAACTTCTAGTTGCAGCCAATAAAGCACCAATAGGAGGGAGGGGGGGGGGAAGAATTTCACTCTAATGAACGCATCCTTTGAAGACTTGAGAACTCCTAGGCTGCTTCAAGTGATAGGAAAGGAAACGAAAGCAAGGGAAAACCATTTTCTTTTACTGTCATGTACACATGTTCAATTGTTACAAGAAAATGTAGGTTACACCATAACTATTTTCTTTAAAGAACTAGTTTTCCTCGAATCCTTCCCTATAAAAAGTATAGGATTCAACATCGCAGAAAAGTTAAAATTATTTTTTTACATAAATTTTCTTTTAAACTGAATAAATAACGGGAAAATAAATTCTTTCTATTTTATTTTCCTTTCCTTTCTGTTGAACCATTTTCTCTCAAGAAACATTTTCCTGTAACAATATATGCTTGACATCAAGTTGTGGAAGGGGGCTATTCTTTTTTGACTTTCTCTTTTACTGTTTGTATTAGAATGACTCTTCATGAGACAATTTTTCTACATTTCAAGTGGATTCAAAGCCTCATAGAAGGATCTGCCTTTACAAACTTCACTTGCTAGAGTTGTTGCCAAGTGTTTCACATATAAAATGTTTTTCCAACCAAAGAATTTTTTTTCACATATTGCAAGTCCTTTAGTTTAAAGCTACTATTGAAATGTCTTTGTGAGAATATATTGTATATTTTCTATATTAGGCATACTTCTTATTGTATATATTAGGCTTGATTTAGGCATAATTTTAATTAAGCTATATTAGGTATTATAGTGATTATGTAATCTTTGTATTTCCTTTTTAGTTTTAGGAGTTATTATATATACTGAGGCCTTGGTGTAACTATATATACAATTGAATATACAAATTTCTCAAAAAACCTATAGTCTTGACATATAAAATCATGAAATTCCTTTACAGATAATAATGGATCTGCTATGGAGAAAACAATAGCCAAAACATTTCAAATACTGTCATTTCCAAACATGGTGTAAACCAAATGGAAAAAAAAGGCTTCGCAAGGAAAAAAAGGTTAGCATCCATTACATTGGCAAGTTGAAAACGAATTGAGAAATACCTAGGTGTAGAAGTTATTAAGGATGGGATGTTGGGGTTAATAGTAGGGTTGTTCATTATACCCACTAACCCGCATAAATCATCTGACCCAGACTGCCTCATGATGTTAGAGACGATTTCGAGCAGGTGAATGATCGGCTACGGTTTTCTAATATATTATTTCACAAGTGTGCGGTTAGAAATGGATACAAAAAATACACACCCGACCAAATAAATAGAATCATATAGCATTTATATTGGTGGCCTTGGAAGTACACTTGTGTCAATCTGAGTTCTCTATGACAGATTACTACACTTTCTCATAATCATTCAATATCTTTCTCTCATAAACCCAAAGACTTTCCCAAAAAAACAAAGGGACTTTCTATCTCTCACTCTCTCTTCACTCTTGGTCTCTCTCACTTTCTCCTATTTTTCTTCATAACCATTCAATGCTTTTCTCCTTCATAAACCCTAAGAGTCTTTTCTAGAAAACTAAAACGACTCTATCTCTCAGCCTCTCTTCACTCTATAGGTCACTCACACTCAGTTTTTTCTTCTCTCCATTGGCATCTAAGAAATATTCTCCCTCTCACTTTGTCTCTCTCTCTCTCATCTCTGCTTCTCTCTCTTTTCCCTCCCATCTTCAATCTTCCTCCCCTCTTTAATGGTGGTGGTGACAATGGCGGACAAGGGTGATCGTGACGGCAAGCTTTGGCGGTCGTGGTGGTTGCAGATGCGGCTGAGATAAGCAATGACAGTACTCTCTCTTTCTCTCTCTCTCTCTCCCCCATTTTCTTCCTCCACTCTCTCTTGCACAGATCTGTAAATATGTGCATATATATATATAAGTTTTAAGGTGTATTGTTTTGAAATTTGAATTTCATTTTTTATAAATTTTTGTCTACTCTTTCTCTACCTTTGTTGGAAATTCAAAATCAACTAAACTAACAATCAAACTAAGGTCTATGATTCAGTTGATTTCGAATAGTATATCGATTGATAACGGGTGACTGATTTCCTCACTTGATGGTCTCGGTTGAGCCGACGGGCTAAGGGTAAACCCGACCCGACCTGACTCAACTCATGAACACTCATAGTTAATATAGCATGCGTACAGGGGACAAAAGAAGACTTACAATTCCACCAGCCATGGGTTATGGGACTTGAAATTTTGGTCAAGCAATACCACAAAACGGATTTTGACATTGTGAGTACTTATACCACCCCGACATTTGTCAAGCCCTACGAGCACCATGACATTATCACCATACCTCTACATGACAATGCTCCGAGACCCGACGATGTCCTCACAAGACAAATTGAGGTTGTATGCCTAGCTTAAGCAAGGACATATACACACCAAGTATGGATGGTTAGCTCACTAGAGTAGATGCCGCCCTAACAAGCAAGTGCTCCAAAGTGAATGAGTCAAAGTATGAAGAGCACGATGCATGGTTGGGAGCATATGTGGCAGAGTCAAGTTCACTGCTTAGCCATAACCTACTTGATAACACCATGGCTCTAGAGCACCCCACTTGCCTAGAGCCTATGTTGATCATTGTTCTTTGTACCTCATTCTTACTAGGAACACTCAAGAATGACTATCTCGAGTCAGTCAACATAACCTGGTCCTTGGTTTGCCTATGTCTCCCTTATGCACTCCCTATGTCTCCCTAAGCACTCACTGCTCGAGATCATTTAAGGATTATAGATTGGAGGCAAGGATCAAGGGTTCGTCAAGGTTGCCTGGCTACCCTAAGAAAACAACTCCACCTTGACTAGGCTTAACGAGAGGGGACGTTGACCTTTCACTCTCGCCTGCTAAATGCCTTGATACACCTCCCAAGATCTCATACCAACCCGTGCAACTCCTATGATGGCTAAACAGTGAGTAATTTAGGCTTTGACAGTTAAATTAAAAGCTAATGGGTATAGGAAGGGATTAAAATTGATTTGGGGTGATTGGATAGGGCTTTGAGGTTGAAAAGTGCACTTTTTGAGAGCTGTGAATAGTAACCTGATATTAATAACTAGGGCATGTGCGGAAAGAAGAAGAAAGAGAAGAAGAAGATAGGTTTAGGAATCAATCCTAAAATCCCTTAGTTATTATTGGGTTACTATGAAAGCTTTCCTAGTTATTATCAAACCCTAATGGATTTTGGAGCTTTCACAGTCCATAAGAAAGCTTCAAAGTACTGAAATATTTTTAATATATCAACTCTATTAAATTATAAGCATTAGATGCCTTTATATAGAACTAGAAGATTTCCTAAACCAACTAGAACCAAAAAAGAAAACTACTAAAACTACTTTTGACTTTCAAAACCAATTAAGACCAAATAAGAAGCATAAATAAAAACCAATTAAATACCTGGACCCATAAGACAACTCATGAGCAACCCCTACAGCCCATGTCAGCAAATTTGAAATTACTAAAATACCACTGACTTCAAAACACTAGAAAACAAAAAAAATAATCATAAAATAAGACTCTAATAATACTATAAATATAATTAGATAAGATTCCTATAAGTTTCTCTTTGAAATCATGCCAATGTCTTAATATCATCGCTTCTTTGAATTTAGCCTTCCTTGAGCCTCTTATATTCTGCATCACCACCTCTGATACCTAATACTAGATACCTAATACCTAATACCTATAGACTTGAGTTGGTAGATGTATATTGATTGACCTCTCTAACATTTGAGATAATCCTCCCTCTTTTCCGATTTTTGTGCGTGTAGAAAAGTGTCCATGTAAATAGAAGAGACATGTTGCAATTTTTATGGGAGCAATATAAATAGAAGTACTTGCATATCAAATATATATATACCTGTGTAACAGTGCTCGGAGGAGAAGTTTGGCACTAGAAGCCTGGGCATCATTAACAGTGGAGGGAGGTTGTAGACACCCCATTTTTGACCGACCTTAAGACTCAGACGTCACCAATTGAGTGCTTGGTGATGTTGCATATCGCGCTCGTTCGGAAGTCTCAGAGTCTCGGCTGCGAGCCTTGCCTCCGGACTTCCGGATTCTTTTGTACCTTGCCTCGGTTCGCGAACCAGACTCGATTTTCTCTGTTTCTTTTCCTGAGGGGAGGGAGAGGTCCCGTAGACCATCTCTCAGTGGCCGTGGGCTACATTTCGTGGTCGTAGGCCATTTTGCCCGTTTCGGAGCCCGGTTCCCGGTTTTCGGAGCCGTCAGGCCGTGTGCCTCGGTTCGGGACCGCCTAACCACTTCCATTTGCTCCGGTTTTTGGCATGCGTATTATTTGCTCCCTTTTGAGGGACACTGTGGTCCGAGAGACCAACTTCGTGGTCGGACACCACTTCCGGTGCCTAACAGCCCACTTTCGGGGCCCCGAACTGCGTGTTTTGGCTCCCGAACCTTCATTTTGCATTTTTGGGCTCCGACCCGAACTTGAGATAGTCATATTTTGAGGTCCTTTTCATGTTTGATTAAGGACCTCTTGCTGTTTGAGGCCTCCTCCTCCCCCTTTGTGTTTAAACTCTCTTTTAGGCCTATTTTTACATGATATTTTAGGCTTATTTGTGAGCTATTTTGGACTTGTTAATAAAATGTGAAATGTCTTGTTTTGATCCCCTCTTCAACTTTGTTGAAGGGCTCTCGGTCATTTGGGTCCAGCAGATACCACTTGCCTTTATATCCCACTTTTTGGCTTTTTTGGAGGGAAACTTGGATTGTTTTCCCTCCATTTTTTTCCCTCCATTTTTTCCACCCCTTTTGCCTATATATACAACACCCCAGGTCTGTATTAAGGGTTAGAAAAAAAAACTATTTGGAGCTCCTATATTGTATCTCTATCTCTCTATAATTCTAAGCTTCAAAATCCTTAAGTTCCTACACCCATTTCTTCACCACCACCAAGCACCACCACCACTACTCCATTCCAGCAGAGAGGAGTGGCTTTCCAGCAGCTAAGAGGCAACATTTTTCAGTCCTAGAGGCAGCAAAGGTTGGGTCTTCAAGGGTGAGCACTCTTCTCCCTCTTTCTAGCTCATTTTTGCCTCATTTTTTTAGCCTCTTTACTTGCTGTTTTGAGCTCCGACCAAAACATAAAATTCCATTTTTTTGAGCTATATTCCATGTTTCATTAAGGGCTCAACCCTGTTTGAGCCC